AAGTGGACAATGACCTATTAAGAAATAAAATGTTACTCTAAATGTACCGTACATAACACTGCACAAACAACCCTACCGAGAGTTTACTACTGGCAACATTTGTAACGGGGAGAAGACATTCAAAATGTTTCAAGTTCTCAGAGCACCCTCATTAAGACTGAGGACAGAATATTTATTTCAGAAAACTGTATGTGCACGGCAATCTCCATTCTTAATTCTCTCAATTCTGGATACGCTTTAGAAAACCGTGGACTGCGTAATCTAAGCTGGGCAAAGCGAAGGAAAATGTGTCTGTCTTTTAGTTTCACTCTGAAAAACTCCTTCAACATCTTCTAAAAGTTACATAATTGGCTTATTCATACTTTCCTCCATTTCCATAAAGCAAAATGTTACTGCCTTATTCTGACTAGTTCATACTCCCAACAGGAAGAAAACCCAACCTCAACTTTACTATAAACCATGAATGAGGTGCCCATGACTTGTCTGTTTCCCCTTGAACAACTGTGAGTGGCACACAGAAAGCCCACAGACATTGGGCATACACCAGCTTTCACAAACTGATGCTACAAAAGCAACAGCCTCTTCCATCCACTTTGTTTCCGTGTACAGGAAGTCATAACAAACTCCATGCAATGTTTCATAGTGAACTGTCAAACAAAGCAATTACCCAACACAGTATCACAACTAGAGATATATGGCAGTGCTAGTCTGGTTATTTTCCCAAGAAAAACTTACAAATTTTAAGTAGTTAGATTCAGAAAAATAAATTCTCTGGGGACAATTAAAAATAATAATCAACAACAATAATCCATAAAGTAATATGCTCACACATCCTAACTAAGAGCAAGATGTCTCAACTCCTCATTTCTGATAAGAACAGAAACCTAACATACGTGTTCCCAGAAATCTGATTGTCTTTACAGCAACTCCATATCCAAGTAACAAAGCAGTACGAACAGAAACAGTCAAATTCAAGGTGGCACAAAGATTACACACACAGTTCTGATGGGTTTTGTTTTGTTCTTAGTCTTCATTCGGAGTAATACGTTTGTGCTCAGCACGAATAACAGCTTTTGGGGTTCTTTTCCTCCTCTTAAGACTCTCGGAATCCAAATTCTTGATGTTGAATTATGTCAATGCAGATACACCAGGGATGCCTCACAGACAACCAGAGGCTGCTTTGAAAGAAGCTGTGGACAACTGATGAGTAAATTTTCACAAAAGCTGGAAAATCTCACTCAGCAGTCACTTTCAAGGTGCTTAACAATTAGGGTTTAGCTGAATCCAGTGCTCTTTAACAGAGCTATGAAATGCAGTTCAGGTGACAAAAGCAGTTAAGAAAATAACATCTTTTAACCGCTAACTTAATTTTGTCCGTTAAAAAATACAGAAGTGAAGCATCTTGTTTCAGTAGAAACAGCATCCACCAGGATTCCTAATTAAGTCAGAGAAAAAGTACAGTTAGGACTGTCTGGAATTGATCTCAGAAGAACAGGGTATAAATTAGAAAACCCCAGATGGGGTCCTGATCCCTGGTTACGGTACTGCCATATAAATGGTGACAGACACAAGATGATTAGTACAAACACGTCCATCTGTTCCCAATGAGGTATGGCTTTTTTTTTTTCCTTTTTTTTTTTTTTTTTCCCTAAATCATCTTTTGAACCATATTCGTACTGAAATTGTCATGAGCTGAATTAACAGAGCTGAATATCAGGTAGTATAAAACATGGATAATGCTACTGAATGTCTTCCAGTGCTTGGGACAAAATGCAAAAGTAAATTCCACTGATGGCAACCAATTCCAAAACTCAGAATCCACTCTGAGAACCATAAGTTTCCCCATACTTTAGAGAAAGTTGGAGATGGTAGTAATCTATAAAAGTTTACTCCTCCACCCTTATTAAGAATCAGTCTTGAAGTATTAGTTGTGTTTCACTGAATTGTTTCAAGTTAGATGTGTCATAACAGTTATCGACATTAATTGACTGTATTACAGAATCTAAAGTGTTTCAGGTCTATTTTGTTTTTGCTTTTTGTTTTTCAAACAAACCACTAACCTGCGAAAATAAAATTTCCATTTACACACTGCCCTTCTGATGTATTTTGCGTATTAGAACTAAGAATAAAAAAAAAATCAAGTTTTCTAGGAGACTACATTCAACTGAAGATATCACCAATGGAAGAGCAATAGGTACTTGGTTTACATAGGTACAGCTTCAACTTTCAGATGATAGCAAAGAAGTTTTGCTTTGGTTTTCCTGTTCTGTTTAAAGCACACATATTGCAATTCTTCATAAGCTTGCACGCCATTCCTTCCAGGATCCATCAGTGCAGTTCAACTAGTCCAGAGAACACCACAAAACAGGGGAAGCCAACCCAACGCTTCCCCTCCAAGGACAGCGACACTCAAGCTTTTTTAAGAAAGCAATGAGTTCCCTCAGTTCTCCCTTACCAGCTTGTTCCATAACTGACCAATATTTCAGTAATATATTCTTTCAGCTTACCATAGCAGTATTTCATGCTAAGAGTGAAAACATCACTACTTTAGGAACTTGTAACAAGTATGACACACTGTCCTACCACTTGTCAGTAGCAGATGCCAGGACATACATTGTTTGGTTCTAGTAAGGGAATCTGTCTGAAGGAAAGGAAAAAAGACTACATAAAGAAAGCTCAAATACATACACTCTCTAAGTAAAATTAAAGCAGAAGGAAATTTGAATGAAGCTGGTAGGGAAAAATAATTAGTCCCATTTATATCAGATTCTCCTTTGTTTTCCACCTTACATGCCTTTAGTGTCCAGCTCCACATTTTCTCATTCATTGTCCCCCTGCCAACCTATGCATGTTCAACAAGTAGCCTGTATCACCTCTTCCAAACACAGACTTCAAGAAAAAGCAGTCACTTGCTCCAACAACCTTTAAATGAAGACCCCTTACTAAGAGACTCCTAGAAATACTCATACAAACTTTTACTGTTCTGTATGAATATAAACTGTGCATCTGAAGAAAGAATGAGAGAGGAACGAGAAGTATAATTTGAGACCCTGCTAGATAGCAAATTATCTCAAAAGAAAAAGCATCTCTTATGATCTGCAGGAGGTAACACAGCTTCCTGCTCAAAACCAGAATTGGATAATGCCCATGGTCACATCCATATCTCATGGCAATACCTTCCTGAATGCTAGCAGTAACTTTTTTAATATCTTTAATTACACCTTAATAATAATTTAGCTGACTTGCTCAATATAAGCCCATAGCATAAACCTGCTAAAAACACTCCAAAGCCAATAGTTACGCGGCACACATTAAAACAATTCAGCAGCACACAAGTACTACAGACATACAACTTTCCATTTCAATTTACTTAGCTGTTCCGCCAAAAACTACTAACCTGAATAGGTAGTACCGAGAACAAGAAAAACACGGACAATCAATAACGCATAAGAACTCAGAACAAAATGAAATCAGCCCCTACATCACAGTGAAGTACAACCTTGCCTCAAATGCAGACACAAGATGTCACACAAGTACCAAACTACTTCTCCAGCAGCGCACGCTTTCACATGGAGGTGATGCGCGCACCTCAGCTTAACTATCCTGAGCTGCCGATCGCTCTCTGCTTTCTTTTAGGGTAATCCAAACATAACAAATTCTGCTGCTTCGTGTCTTTTCACACAAGTATATAGCACCTAGAGCACATCTATACAGCATCTGAGAGGGACTGAGCAAAATTTCTATCAACTAAAAACAGAAGTATTCCTATAGTTTGAAAGGGGAAAAACCTGAAGGAATGCATGTCATCTTATCTCCTCCCCACAATGCGATTTGACAGCCGTTTTCAGCTATAAAGCCACTCGAATGTTAATCACCCCTTCTATTCCATTTCCCGCAAAGAGAAATCAATTACAGCCCAGCACCTACCGAGCACAAAACAAAGAGCAACACGAACATACTTGGGCAGTTGTGCTAAGGCAGGCAGCACCGCCTAGCCGGGCGATCGCGGCTCTCAGCGCTCGTGCAGGAAGGCAGCGAAAAGTCAGGAGAAGGTTCGCACAGCCAAACCCAGCTCTGGAGCAGCGGGTCCGCTGCAGTTCAGTTCCCCGGGATTGTTCACCACCATTAATTGTTGATTTGTTTTGAAGAAGAGATAGTGATTTATTTGCAGCGGGATGAAGTTACAGCCCTAGATTCCTGACCAGAGGCTCTCAACGTAAACAATGCACAACCTATAAATTAACAATTCTCCATCTGGCGATTCCGATGTAAAATTCATAGTTTTTCACCTCACAGGCAGCGCCAACCCCCTCCCACACACACACTTCCCTCTCGACTGCCTTCTAACAGAGCTTAATGCAAAGGGGGAGGGAAAAGGAAGAAATAAAAAAAAAAAAAAAAGAAAGAAAAGAAAAGAAAAAAAAGAAAAAAAGCCAGCATGAGAGAACCGGGCTGGCACAAGTAGGTACCCACAGAGCCGAGGTCCGCGCGGTTGAGGAGGGCGGCGAGGGGGGACCCAAAGGGCCGGGGTTCTCTCCGCCGAGCGCCGGAGCCGCGGGCGCAGCCCGGGCGGGCGGCGAGGGGCAGGGAGGGGACAGCCGGCCTCCCGCCGCCATCCCCCGCCGGGCCACCCGGGGCGGGCGCGGGGGGCACCGGAGGGCGACCCCGGGCCCCACGGCACCCCGGCCAAGGTCACCCCCCGCAAGGGCCCCGCCGCGCCCCGCGGGTTGAGGGGGGGGTGGGGAGGGGGGGGGGAATAGGAAGGGGGCGGCAAATTTAATTTGCGACGGCGGCCACGGGGAAGGGGGGAGGGGAGCGGCCCCGCGGAGCGCTGGGGGGGATGGGGGGTTCGGCCGCGGGGAGCCCTCGCCCCGCTCCTCCTCAGGCGCTGCCCGCGGAGCGCGGTCCGAGTTGCCGCCCCCCGCCCCCGCCGCGGAGAAGGGAAAATGGAGCGGTAGACGGGGTGGGGGTGCGCGCGGTCGCCGAGCCGGGCTCCTTACCCCGCCGCAACCGCCTCTCCTCGCTGGTCCCAGGCGGGTCCGCTCCGCGCTGCCGCCGCTCCGGGCTCGGAGAGGAGCTGCCGCCGTCGCCGCAGCCAATCGCCTCTAACCCCCTCCCCTTCCGCAGCTCGCCCCGGTCCCCCTGTCGGCTTCAAAATGGCGCCAACTTGTCTCCGGCTGCTCCAATGGAACCGCGGGGGAAGCGAGCGGGCCCAGAGCCGGGCAGCGGCGGGGCAGCAGCGCCCCCTGCCGGCCGCTACCGCCGGCCCGCGCGCCGCGAACAGCCGCCGCGCTCCGCCTGCGGGAGAGAGCAACGGGGGAGCCCCGGCCCCGTTCTGCAGCCCGAGGCGGCCCGTGACTCCCCGAAGGCGGGTCGGCACGGCGCTCGGGAGCCCCGGCTGAAGGCGGGCGAGCGGTGTTTGGGAAACCGACCCGGGATTTCCAGGGCCCTGAGGTCGGCGGAGCAGCACCGCCGGGGCACCGCGGGCGGGGACGGAGCCGCGGCCCCAACGGAGAGAGCTCCGCTGTCTGTGATGAGCCATCAGCTGGTGATCGCTGCGAAATATGAAATTAGTGAAATTAGTATTTTCCGCGGACTGTGAAAGAATCGGTGTAAAACCATAAGGGGTAAAGTTCCTTCGCTGCGGGGAAAGAGCAGAAAAAGCAGCGGCACCGCTCAGCAAACCCTTCGGTTTGGCTTCAGCGAGCACAACGGCTTCACAGGCACCCTGACAGGAAAACGTGAACCGAACGGTAGTGCAATTCTCCCCGCTGCTACAGATGAAGTGCTGCACTTAGAAATGACGCGCGGGGAGAAAGCAGAAGTGCTGAAAGCGTTCAGATCCCAAAAGCGGGAACGCTGCGCTCAGCAGAGCCACGGGGACCGGCCTGGGGCTGTGTCTGCTGTGCGATGCTTAAGGACTGCTGCAGCTGAGGTGCTCTCGCTGCTGCTCCAAATCCTTAACTAAGCTCCCTGCAGCTCCTGACCACGCCAGCACACTGCCATCAGCACGGCTGGTTTTAAGCTGACATCCTCACCCCCTGACGGAGGCTCTGTCGGTGGCCCCGACTGTCTGCAAACTGTGCAGCGCTTGCACAAACCTGAAAAGCCAAATTTTCACATGGCACTGAAATGACGGAGGAGCGTGTCTGGCTGTGGAAGCAGCCATCGTGCTGCCACTGTTTGCAGGCATTTTTGTTGTGGAGGGGCTTAGGGCAGCACCTCACACTCCAACTCCCAGCAGGAGCTCTGGGGCTGAGTGCTGGGAGGGGGAACGCGCTCAGAAAAGCCACGGTCCGGTCTTCATCCGGACCACTTTAGCATTTCGGAACGCAGCCTTCTGGAGAAAACGCTCCCTTCCTCCTTTCTTAGTTTCCTTACATCTGACAGAACCGGGACGCCGCCTCCAGCAGCGCGTTCCGTTCAGTCCCGAGCTCCCTCATCCCGGCGGCAGTTCCGCGCTCAGCCCTCACGGGGGAGCCCATCCGACACCGCTCCGCCGCCCTCAACTCTCCCGCCGCGCCCGGGGCCGCTTGGCGCGCAGGGAGGTGACAGCGGCCGTGGGGCCGTCAGGAGGCGCCGCGAGGCCGCGGTTCGAGCGCAGGAGGCAGCGCGGGCAGCCCGAGGGAGGAGGTTCTTCTGTGCTCCTGGGCGTGTTGCACGGCGGGTTTCTTCAGAAAACGCTTTTGGGAGGTGTTATGGGCCGGTATTCGATGTGAAGGAGGGTAAAACGAGAACCCTCTTGGTGCGGTCCTAAAATAAAACTGCCACGCTATGCGACCGGCTGGAACACGGGGTGTGTTCGTGAGGGTGGGCTCAGTCCCTTCTGCAATCAGGATCATAGAATCGTTAAGGCTGGAGAAGACTTCTAAGAACGCCAAATCCAACCGCCAGCCCACCCCAAGCATGCCCACTGACCACGTCCCTCAGAGCCACATCCACACGGCTCCTGAACGCCTCCAGGGACGGTGACCGCACCACCTCCCAGGGCAGCTGTGCCACTGCCTCACCGCTCCTGAGAAGAATCTCTTCCTAATATACGACCTGAAATGTCACATCTCTCAAGGACGACTGGTAGCAGGATTCTTTTTACTGATTCTGCCACCATCTAAAAGTGCAGACAAATGTATGATGTTACAGATACTTGAGAAAGATTAGAAATGCCTGCACAAAGCAGGTGTTTAACTTAAAGCATGACATACAGAAAGCCAGCACCACACAGCTCTCAGGACCAGGTCTTTTACACAGCATGTGTTTGTTGAAGGCACTGTTCACATCTCGGTGTTCCAGGGATGATGGTGGAAATCCCAAAGACCATCCTTCAGAGCTGTATTCTTCTCACAACTGTGTGTAAAAACATGGAATGAAAACTGCAGAGTACAAAGGACACTCTGAAGATGCCCTTCTGGGTCAGATCAGCAGTCCGTCTTGTTCATAATTTGATAAGCAGCAGTGGCACTGTTGGCAACATAGCACTCCCAGAGAGGCTGATACCTTGCATCTCCAGTTTGATGGTCCCTGCATTTTTTTCCAATGCAGGGAACTTAAATGCACAATTTGAGATTGTCATATTCCCCTGTATAAAACAAAAATAACAGCAAAATCACAGAATCACAGAATTGTAGGGGTTGGAAGGGACCTCCAGAGATCATCGAGTCCAACCCCCCTGCCAAAGCAGGTTCCCTACACCAAGTAAGAGATATTATAGAGGGAGACTTGCCTACTCTCTGTCCATCATGCACTGCTAGCATTAACAATTACTGCAATAGAGATGCTACATCTGCTTTGTACATGGATGGCATATATACTCACCTATTCCCTTTAGAATCTGTTTATGGACCTGTTGTCTACCTTTATGTGCCTGCTAATGCTACATACTTTCCAGCCTGCTTAGGCAGCAGATTCCCAAAGCACACTGGCTAAGAAACGTATTCTGCATTCAGCTTGAGTAGAGCTTTTCTCAACTGTAAAATTTGATTGTATCTCTCAGCATTGTCTTCTTATAACCAAAATCCAAGCCCCTTTGTTTTTTTTTTTTTTGTTTGTTTGTTTTTTTTTTTTTTTTTTTTTCCAGTGTGAATAGGAGTGGAAGCAACAACTGTCAATGTAACATCACTATAAGATTTATATTAAACATTTTTGCTGAGTCTCGTAAATCATTATAGTAATACTGAGGCATCTGCACATATGAATCTCTTTGCATTTTTTGCCTTTAGGTCCCTCTGCTGCTTTCATTCATTAACTTGAACTAGAGAACTGCATGAAGGCTCTCCAATTTTAAGGCATTTCAGAACAGGTTGTGGATGCCCCCTCCCTGGAGGCATTCAAGGCCAGGCTGAATGGGGCTTTGAGCAACCTGGTCTAGATGGAGGTGTCCCTGCCTATAGCAGGGGGTTGGAACTAGATGGTCTTAAATATCCCTTCAAACCCAAACCATTCTATGATTTCTATGATTCTGTAACAGAATAGGAGAACACTACTTTACCAGTCATAGCTTTGTTTAATGAAGAGCTGTAATTTATACCTACAGGACTAATGGATGGGGATCTTGGGAAGAAAGCTGGCACATGAGAAATGTCGTAGACTTTCAAGACACCTCAGCACAGCATACCACTGTGGGAGGAAGGAAAGTTGCAAGGAACTTGGCCTTAGAAAGGCTCGCTGCTGTAGACCTTAGCAATCCCTTCTGATTTGTCATGGTGAAATATTAAAATTGCTTGACACAATAATCGCGTATTCCTAGGGGGAAAAAAAAAAGAGAGAGAAAAATCAGAAAAAATCTTTATTATTATTATTATTCTTTTTCAGAAGGGAGGGAGCTGCACAACAGAGACCAAAGACTCCTGCTTTTGACAGCAAAAAGTTAATTGTTCTACCAACTTCCATATTTATAGATTGCTTCAGAGTAACTGTTGAGCAAATCCCTCTGTGCAGATATCACTGGAAAAAGGGCCAGCAGAACTAACAGAGAATTTGAATGGAAGCCAACTGACATTTTTTTTAATTTCTAACATTAAAGGGCAATATTTTCCCCTTTTTAACCATGTTTATCTGAACTCTCTGTCTTAATGTCACAGGTTTGTGAAAAGGATACTTTTTGTTTTCAGCACAGGCATATTCAATTTTCCCTTTTGTTTCTCTCCTACAACGCTTGAACAACTGCATCAAAATATTTTACTAAGAAAACCAATTGAAATGGCTTACATTCCATTTCTGTACTAAGCCCTTCACACCAATAAGGTTTTTGCTGAGTTAATGCCTATATACTCTTTCTACTTGCAAGTGAAGTGATTTATTTCAAAGAGAAAAAAAATTGCTCATTTACTGGTTGGGTTCTTGAACTGAATAACTGAAGTTACTATGAACATGAGTTACTTTGCAACTAATTTTAGTATCTCATATGTCTCAAGTAAGCCACATGGAAACAGTGACTTAAGATGACTGGAATTTTAGACTCACGCTGTGAGTTCTGTAGCCAACATTGTCTCTTGTAAACAAAAATCAAAAAGCTGAATAAGACACAGTGATGCTCAGAAGGTATCTTTAACAAATATACAGCACTAATTCTGGAGTTTAGTAAGTAAAACTTTAATATTAATGCCTGACTATCAAATATATCTACCTGCATCTGTCTTGTTTTGCCAGTAAAAATACAGGAGTCTGTAATCAGTCTGTGATATTTTGTTATTTAAAAAAAAAAAAAAAAAAAAAGTGAAGGAGTGAAGGTGAAATGTTACTTATCAGGATGATGACCAAAGGAAGCATTTCACACCATCTCTTTCTCATGTAACTAGTTAACATCTACAGCAGTACACTATTAAGATTAAATTACTTAAGGGAAGTCTTTCTATTAAAACAGTAACTACTATGGCCTCCCTAAACATGCCATCTCCACTTAACTGTAGATATATTTATATTGCTGACCTCTCTTCTTCAGATGGGATTCTAAAGACATGTTTGGAAAGAGGGCAATAAAATGTTTCATGTTACAGTACACAAGTGGAAAATGTCATTGTTAATGCTCCCAATGGAATCTGTCTCTTTACTGCAGTCAGAATTTGTGCTTCATTTTGGTACCAACTA